TAAGGTGTTTTGCAGCTGTAGAATTTGAAATTAACAGCTCTCCACTTGCTACCTTATCTATGAGTTTCGCTGCTAAATATTTCATGCTGATTTCCATATGGATTCTTCTGCTCAATGAGAGTATGTGTCAAATAGAACTCTGTGGTTTTGAGAGTTTTGGAAGATCCTGCCTGCTAAGGCCCCCTTACAATATTATCTCCTATGACTCACCCGCTTGCTTACTGGCCTTCTGTCTCTCTTCGTGGTCTTTGTACACATTGTTCCCTATGAAACTTTTTGTCTTAACTCTTTCCATCACTGGTTTCCCCTTATCTCTCAGGTCTCAGTTTAAATATCACCTCCTCCTAGGAGACATCTTTTTTGTTTTAGTTATAGATAGCTTTATTTAGAAAAAAAGTGTATTCCATTAAATTTACCCATTTAAAGCATACGATTCAATGGTTTAGTATATTTACAGGGTTTTGTTACCATCACCAAAAAATCTAATGTCAGACATTTTCATCATGCGAAAAAGAAAGCTAGTACTGATTAATAGTCACTCACCATTCCACACTCTCACCTGTAATCCCAGGCAATTATTAATTTACCTTCTGCCTCTATAGATTTGTCTATTCCAGACATTTCATATAAATGAAATCATGCAACATGTGGTCTCTTGTAACTAGCTTTTTTCACTCGGCATAAAGTTTTCAAGGTCTATCTATGTGGTAGCATGTATTAGTACTTCATTCCTTTTTATCGCCAAATAATATTTCATTGCATGGATACACCACCTTTTGTTTCTCCATTCATCAGTTGATGGGCATTTGTGTTGTTTCCACTTTTTGGCTTCTGTGAATAATGTTGCTGTGAACATTCATGTACAACTTTTGTGTGGCCATGGTTTCATTTCTCTTGGACAAATACCTAAGAGTGGAATTGCTGTGTTATATAGAAATCTATTTTTGTACTTTTTGAGGAACTTGCAGACTGTTTTCCAATAAAACCTTTTCTGACCACCCATTTTAAGAAGCCCCATATTTTCCTTTTTATTACTCTAGTGATGACTTTATTTCTTCTTAGCACTGATTATAATCTGAAATTAAATTTTCACTTACTGGGTCTGTGCAACTAGAATGGGGGCTCCTTTGTGGGAGAGACTATGTCTGTCTTGTTTGCTGCTCTATTCCCAACATATAATGTGCCTACTATACAGTAAGTGCTTAATGAATACTTGAATAACTAAATAATGACTGAACAAGACTTTTAGCAATATTTGCATCAGGCTATTGGAAATGGATGGTGGAGAATGAGGAGGCTGGAACAGACAGGATTCTAAGAGAGCTGGCCATAAATATTTAATCAAAGTTTTTGCAGCAGTAAGATTTTTTTTTTGCTGAAAGTAGAGTTAGGGTGCTTTGCTATAGCAAGTAACAGAGAAATTACATGTAAAATTGGAGAGCCCTGACCGGTTTGGCTAAGCAATTAGAACATTGACCCGCAGACCAGAGAGTCCCGGGTTCGGTTCCCGCGAAGGGCACGTACCTTAGTTGCAGTTTGTCCCTGGCCCCAGTTGGAGTCGTGTGAGTGGCAACCACTCGATGTGTCTCTCTTACATCGATGTTTCTCTCTCTCTCTTCCTCCCTCTCTACCTCCTGCTCTATCTGAAGAAAAATGAAAAAAAAAAAAAAAAGAAAGAAAAGAAAAAAGAAAAGGAAATGTCTTTGGGTGAGGATAATAAAACAAAAAACAAAACAAAACCAAAAAAATTGGAGATAGTATGGCCCTGGCTAGTTTGGCTCAGCGGTTAGAGTGTTGGCCTGCGGTCCAGAGAGACCTTGGTTCAGTTCCTGCTAAGGGCATGTGCCTTGGTTGCAGTTTGTCCCCAGCCCTGGTTGGGTTGTGCGGGTGGCAACCACTTGATGTGTCCCTTTCATGTCGATGTTTCTCTCTTTCTCGTTCCCTCCCACTCTATCTGAACAAAAAATGGAAAAATGTCCTCGGGTGAGGATAAAAAAAAATTGGAGATAGTATGGGCTCTAGATGTAGTATAATTTATGGCTCAGTGAAGTCATCAAGGACCCAGATTCTTTTCATCCCTCCCCTTGGCTATCCTTGGCTTTCTTTCTTTCAAGGTTCCCTGAGGGCTAACAGAGACTCACTACAAGTTTCTTTTCAGGTCTAGTAGTGGGGTGGGGGTGGGGTAACCTGTTTTTAAGAATAAATTATATGTCTTATCTTTCAGTCTCTTTAGGCCAACCTAATCACAAGCAGCCCCTGAACTAAAAACAGCTCTCAAGCCCAGGTGGTGTGGCTCAGTGGTTGAGCATCGACCCATGCACTAAGAGGTCACTGGTTCGATTCCTGGTCAGTGCACATGCCCAGATTGTAGGCCAGCTCCCCAGTGGGGGGCATGCAGGAGGTGGCCAATTGATGTTCTCTCTCATCGATGTTTCTATCTCTCTCTCCCTCTCTTTTTCTCTCTAAAAATCAATAAAGAAAACTAAATTAAAATAAATAAATAAAAACAGCTCTCAAGGGAATGCTATGCAACTATGAGCTTAGACTACTCAGCATCTACCCCTGTAAGTGGGGATGGACTCAATGAGAGGTGAAGAGCTCAATGAACAGGAATTTGTTACAAAGAAAGGAAGGGATAGAGAGTCGATGCTGGGTAGAAACCAGAATGTTCACTGCTCTGAGTCTAGTTTATTTTATTTATTTATTTTTAATTTTTTTCTTTATTGATATTAGAGAGAGGGAGACATAGAAACATTGATAAGAGAGAACATCGACTGGCCGCCTCCTGCATGCCCCCCACTGGGGATCAGACCCACAACCTGGGCATGTGCCCTGACTGAGAATTGAGCCAGTGAGCTCTTAGTACATGGGTTGATGCTCAACCACTGAGCCACACTGACTGGGCCAGAGTCTAGTTTATACTAGGAAATTGTTCCCTTGATTATTTGTTGCATAAAACTAAGCATCCAAGATGAGAATTATATCCATGAAACAAAGAGGAGATGACAAAACTCCCCCCTACTTGTGGTTGCCTTCCTGATTTTATCCCTGTCTTCTTTGATAACAGTAACTAAGCAAATGAATACAACAACATCTGCTGATGATATTTTGGGAACTTCACAGAAGCCCAAAGTGCTAAGCCTCACAGCTAAGTCCTGCCCCTGTGTAATTTCATCCTGGGCACCACAGACCATTCCTTGGCAGAGGATACTGTCTGCTTTCAGCAGAGAGAGGGCAAACACAACAAAAACGCTGCCTCCAAAGGGATTTCATTACTTCACTGTTAATTATCTTTTAAACCAATCTTCCTTTTGTACATCTGTCGTCCCACCAAAGGGGAGTAGACAACTCAAACCAGAAGGAAGATGAATGAAAGGGGGCGCATGGACTAGGACCCTTGTTGTCAAGATTCAGAGTGTAGGAAAGAGCTCTTACTGCTGGGCATGGGTGGATGGTTAGGGTCTTCCCTGAGTCTCCTCGAAGGAAAGAGAACAGCTGGAGGCTGGACTGCCAGGGTGACTGAAAGGGTAGGCTGTCCAGGAAAGGAATGCACTCCAGATGTCCAAGGCTTGGCACTTCTGGTTCTTTTTTCTCTAGTTTGGTTGCTTTGCTCCTCCAGCCTATCTGTTGAACTCTGGGCTCCTCAATTACGCCAAAAGCTCCTCTTTTATATTGGGAACTGTTATTGTTCCAATGGTGAGCCCCTCTGTTGAACTTTACATTAGGCAGCAGGTACTTTATTTACTAACTTCCATCAGTCCATTTTCTCAGCTGGAAAATGTTACTCATAATACCTATAGATGGAATTGTTAATAAAAGCCAAAACTGTTAGAGAACTTTACAGGGTACCTGGCTCTGTTCAAACTGTTTTAGATAAACTCATTTAGTCCTCAGAAGAGCTCTGTGAGGTAGATGCTCTTAATTTTGCCATTTTTAATATAAAGAAACTGAGCCACAGAAAATTTAAGAAATATGTCCAAGTTCACACAATTAGGAAATAGAAGAGCTAGTTTCAATACCATTAACCATCTGGTTCTACAGTATTTGTCACCACAATTCAGACTCTTATTAAGCCCTTTCTCTGTGGCCAGGTGCTGTGCTGAGAGGAGATAAGACACAGAGATGATTTCGACATGAACACACAGGTTATACTACTGATACAGAGAAGCTAGTAAAATACTAGGCTGCATTAATAGACATATAAAATATAGGAAAGATTAAATGACACATTCTTATTCTTCACCACCCAAATCCCATCTATCCAAATCTAGACGATTCTTGAATCCAAGCAAGTGTCTCCATCTCTCTGACCACTGCCCTAGTCCAAGCTGCCATCCTTTCTCCTGGACCACTGCCGTGACCTCTTAACTGGTCTTCAGCATTTACTTTAGCTCCTTACCAATCTGTTTGATCATGTCACCTCTTTGCTTGTTATTAAATCCTTCTATGAGTTTTTACTCTTAAGATAAAATTCTCGATACAGGGGAGGAAGCTTTGCACATCTGTCCCCTATGTGCCAATCACTCCAGCCTCATTTGCCGAACTCTGGACCCTAGCCACAATGACTTTCTTTCAATTCCTTGAATACACTTTGCCCACCACCTTCCTCATGGCCTTTTGTATATATTGTTGCATCTATTTGGAACACAGTTCTGGATCAAATGTCCACCCCCAATTCAATCAGCAACAGCCAAGGCAGCAGGGCCACATGGTATATAATCATCATTGGCAGGGTGCATTCCTGAAATGGGAGGGGATATGTCTCAGAGAAGGGAAATCTTGATCACCTGAGAGGTAATATACCAATCTTCTCTTCAAGGGAGATATTCAGGCAGAGGCAAGGTGACCATCCTCCAGGAATGTGATAGGAAGAAGTCCTATACTCTTGAAGGCTACGACTTGGTGACTACCATCATCTTGGCCAAATCAATGAGTCCATGAATTTTTCTTCTTCTAAATGAGTCATGTTTCTGGTTTGTTTGTTTGTTTGTTTTTGGCAGCCAAATAATATCAATGATGTTTAATCAGGATGGAGGCATGGTGATCAGCAAAACAGGAAACATTATAAGGGAATGGAAATGGCCTTTAAAAGGAAAACTTCATGAGCCAGTTGAAATTTCGGTAACATTTTACAATTTATTGTTTTTCTGGTCATTTCGCATGCTGTGACCATAATTTACTTTGAGTGTCTAAAATATACTATTGAGGAAAAGAGGGTTGAGAGAACTGAATTATTCACTTTGGATGTCTCCACCAGCCAGTCGATCCGAAAAATCTTTCAGTTCTTCTCTTCACTTGGCACTTCAGTTGGTTCTTTTTTGATGGATTTGTCTTTGCTAAGCAGCAGTTGCTTTAAGCAGTAGTTTTAAAAAATTATTATTAGAAAAACATTTTGTGCCTACTATAAAACATTTAAAAAATAGGAAAGGATACAATGTTCAAAACGGAAGTCTTCTCTGTCTCACTGTGCAGAAATTACCTCTGTGAATAGCTCAGTGTGTGTCTGTAGGATCAAGGGTCAGAAATTCAGATAATATAGGAGTGAGCCAGCCAGGTGGAACTACAGTGACTAGGAAGCCTGTACCTCCTGAAGGGGGCAGCCTCTACTGAGAGCCAGAGGCTCTTACCACATGGGACTATGGGCCTGGGCTTGCTATCTTTGATGATTTAAAAAAAGCCATACATTCAGATTTTTTTTGTGAAATAGCCTGATATTGTTAAAAGTTGGCAGTTAATTCAAACTCTGAGAGGACTAAACCAAATAATTCTGAGCTACTAGTCTGTACCCTCTGTGCTAGACTTTCTCAGTTCATACATAGTTAGTGTGTGTGTGTGCGCGCGCGCGCGCGCGCGCGCGCATACGCATGCGCACTGCATTTTGTGTTCAGGGCCACTTTATATGGTGCACTGAACAACCAACCCCTAAGGGCACCATTTATTTTATATAGAACTGTGCTATTCAGTATGGAAGTCACTAACCACCTGTGGTCATGGAACCCTTGAAATACGCTGCAACTGTAAAATACACACTAGATTTTAAGGACTTAGTACAAAAAATGAGAATGTAAAGTATCTAGTTAACAATTGTTACATTGGTTACATGTTGATATGTTAATATTTGGATATATTTAGTTTAAAAATATTAAAATTAATTTCACCTGCTTTTTAATGAAGGAACAACAAAATTTAAAGTTATTTATGTGGCTCACTTCATATTTCTACTTGACAAGCTCTTGTGTAGAAAGTAGCTCCAGGTCTCTGTTCTATATAACTTACAGAATCATTCATGGTGGCCATGTGTCCTACATATACTATTCAGATGGCTATTTTTAAAGAAGTACTGCTTAGTTCTGGAGGGCTAGGGAAGTTTTAAAAAATAGATAAAGAAACTGTACCAAGCAGGTCTACATGTGCAAGTTTCCTGACACTCGGGATTTAGGGTTTCCTCACCCTTTGTCTAGAAAAATCAGGGTTGCTCATGGGGTAGATTATTCAGTTCATATTACCTCAGCTGGCAGCCTTCAGGAAGCAAGGGAGTGTAACTTGTAACCAAACAAAAGTCCTTGCATGCTTAGAGCAGGTGACCTAATTAGGATACTTTATCTACACAAGCCTTTAAATGTGCTGTACAAATCTGCAGATGTCCACTTAAGCTTTAAGATGTCCCTTTATTGATACTTTTCCATTCTTGTCATTTGTAAAATCTATCTGACTTGAATGTTTCACAGTAACAGCTTCTTGTAAAGCTTCTAAGCACTTGGCAGCCATAAATGATTATTTTTCTCAACATCAAGGGAATCAAAGCTTACCAACTACAGTATTTTATAGGAGAGACGGTCTGTGTCTCAGGGTTAGAATTAGGGCTCAGAAGTACCTGTAAATTGACCCATACTTCATTTTCAATCTGAAATGAATCTGACTTTCTTTATAAGCCATGATGACATTAATTGCAAATAGTTCCTGCCCACTCCTCTTCCTTCTCTCTAAGTTGTAGCAACAAATTTGTAGCACAAAACCTAAAACTCATTCCTGACTTAATGGAATTATAGCGAAGCTGTCTGTGAATATTGGTCCCAAATTTCCTTCCAGGCATCATGTAAATGTGTACTTCTACATGAATTATGAGTATGAGAATTGTGTGCAGGAAATGACGATTCTTTCTGTTGTCACTCCCCCCGACCCCCCTGCTCCCCACCCAGGTGAATAAGTTCATCACTGTGAAGATTTCTGGGCGCTTTACCATCACCTTGGTCTACACATGGCATCCTGAAAGTCTAAAACTGTCTCTGGCACCTGTAAAATGCAAGTCTTTTCCTCCATACTTCCCTGAGGTGGTAGGTAAAGAGGTTTCTTGAATCATCTACATGATAACACCTTAGCACAGACCAGAGCAGGAACTATGTTGACTGATTTTAGATTCTTAATATTCAGTATTTTGTGGTGATTTCTATAATATGGATGCTATTATAGCTGTTTATGGACCTTACCTGAGAAATAACTGAAAGTTTGGCATGAGGAGAGGTTTGAAGATAAAGGTAGAGTTGGGAGAAAAATATTTTTTTCCAAGACCATGATTCCTAAGCTTTGAAGAATTAATTTCCTTTGTCCTAAGTGGTTGAATTGTTTGCATTCATGTACTGTATGATTTCTTAAAAATGGTGTAGTGCTCATATATATTTTTTAAAGTGAAATTATATCAATTTAAGGTTGTAGCGGGTTTTTTTTTTTTCATTCTCACCCGAGGACATTTTCCATTTTTTGTTCAGGTAGAGTGGGAGAGAGAGAGAGGAAGAGAGAGAGAGAGAGAAACATTGATGTGAAAGGGACACATCAAGTGGTTGCCACCCACACGACCAACCAGGGCCGGGGACAAACTGCAACCGAGGTACACGCCCCTAGAAGAAACTGAACCTGGGTCTCTCTGGACCGCAGGCCAACACTCTAACTGCTGAGCCAAACTGACCAGGGCTGGGTTTTTTTTAAATCCTCATCCAAGAATATTTTTCTATTTATATTCAGATAAAGTGGGAGGGCAGGAGAGAGAAACATCAACGTGAGAGGTTCACATCGATTGGTTGCCTCCCACAAGACCCCAACCAGGGCTGGGGATGAACTCCAACCAAAGTTCATGCCCTTCACTGGAACCAAAGCTGCGATTCATTGGTCCACGGGCCAATGCTCTAACCGCTGAGCCAAACCAGCCAGGGCTGGTGGGTTTTTTTTAAAGCATAACTGACATTCCAAAAAAACTTGGAGATGTTAGAGCATTGCCAAAACTATGGCTCAAAGTAATTTATCTTAATAATCATTTTACACTCTCACGTAATTTCTGTTGAGGAATTATAGGTTTAAACTTTTGTTTGTCAAGAAGTGAGACCTTAAAACATTAGTATGTCTAATTTCGTATAATTAAGTTGTGAATTAGTTTGATTGATTTTGATCAAACTTTAAAAATTTTGAGTGCATTTATGTGAATGGTACACATATTATAGAACATATATGAACACGTGTAAAAGATCTTTATTTTTAGGGACTGGCATCAAAACTGTGTTACTCTGTAGAATTATGGTGATTATTTCACACATACTGAAATTATATACTTTTGCCATAAATAGTGCCTTTATTTCATGCTTTCTTCCTCCCTGGGTTTTTATGAGCCATGTCAACTAAGCTTACAATCTCTCGCAGTCATTCCATTGTCAGTCCCATCTCCAAAGAAACCAGGGAGTTATTCAAGGTCTGCAAAATGAAGTGCAAGCTAATGAAATCCTCAACACCGGTCAAAGGTGTAAATGTGAATTAGTCATTATTTTGATATTTCAGGCAAAGGTGGATTTTAGTTTTCATTTTATTCTAGTTACTTTTCTCTTTCAACATAGTTGGATTTGTTTTAGAAAAAGAACCAAAGAATCAAGCTATTGAACACAGGTAGGCCCATTTACATAATTACTGGAAGGAATATATGCTGACTTTTGATTGTTTGTATTTATAACATCTTAACTATTTTCAATTTTACAGTTCAGTGGCATATGTACATTCACACTGTCGTGCAATCATCACCACCATCCATCTCCAGACTTCTTCATTTTGCAAGACTATAACTCTGTACTCATTAAACAACAATCTCCCATTTCCCCTGCCACCCCAGCCTCTGGCAGCTGCCATTCTAGTTTCTGTCTCTATGAATTTGACTATCTAGGTACTATATCTAAGTGGAATCATAGTATTCCTCCTTTTGTAACTGGCTAATTTCACTTAGCATTATGTCTTCTAAGTCTATCCATGTTGTCTCATGTGTCAGAATTTCCTTCCTTTTTAAGGGTGAATAATATTTCATTATATTTTAATACTATATATTGTTCATCTATTCATCTGTTGATGAATACTTGGATTGCTTCCATATTTTAGCTATTGTGTATAATGCTGCTATGAACATGGGTGTAAAAATATCTCTTCGAGACCCTGCTTTCAATTCTTTTGGATATATTCTAAGAAGTGGAATTACTGGATCTTACAGTAATTCTATTTCTAATTATTTGAAGACCTGCCATGTTGTTTTTTATATCAGTTACACCATGTTATGGTCCCACAACCAATATACAAGGGAGTTCTAATTTCTCTATATTCTCACCAATATTTGTTATTTTATTTATTATTTTGTGTGTGTTTTAATTATTTTTAATCTTTACCCGAGGATATTTTTCTATTTATCATCAGATAGAGTGGGAGGGAGGATGAGAGAGAGAGAGAGAGAGAAAGAGAGAGAGAGAGAGAGAGAGAGAGAGAGAGAAATATCAACGTGAGAGAGACACATCAACTGGTTGCCTCCTGCATGACCCTGACCAAGGCTGGGGACGAACTGCAACCGAGGTACGTGCCCTTGATCAGAATCGAACACACGAATCACTAGTCTGAGGGCCAACATTCTAACCTCTGAGCCAAACTGGCCAGAGCTATTTTGTGTGTTTTTATTTTTATTTTATTTTATTTTATTTTATTTTATATATATTTATTTATTTATTTAGTTTCATTGATTTTAGAGAGAGAGGAAGGGGGAGAGAGAGAGAGAGAGAAACATCGATGAGAGAACATTGATTGGCTCCTTTCTGCATACCCCCCACTGGGGATTGGGCCCACAACCTGGGCATGTGCCCTGTCCAAGAATCGAACCGATAAGCTCTTGATGCATGGGTCGACGCTTAACCACTGAGCAACACTTGCTGAGAGCTATTTTGTGTGTTTTTAATAGTAGCCATCCTAATGGGTGTGAAGTGTGTAATTAACCTTTTTTTTTCCCAAAACATTAAACAATTTAATTTTGTGAATTAAAAACAAAGCAGCAGCCCTGGCCAGTTTGGCTCAGCAGTTAGAGCGGTAGCCTGCAGTCTGGAGAGACCTGGGTTCGGTTCCCGTTAAGGGCACGTACCTCGGTTGCAGTTTGTCCCCGGCCCTAATTGAGTCATATGGGTGGCAACCACTCGATGTGTCCCTTTCACGTCCATGTTTCTCTCTCTCTCTCTCTCTCCCTCCCACTCTATCTGAACAAAATATCGAAAAAAAAATGTCCTCAGGTGAGGATAAATAAATAAATAAATAAATAAAAACAAAGCAGCACACAAATATATAATATCACAGGGCAACCATATTTTTATCACTTGCCCAATACTGCCTGGTGAATGGATTGTGATATAGGCACCTTATGGATTCTTTGTCATGGAGTCTGAATCATTTGTTTATTCCATAGATGCAAAGTGGTTTTCTTCAGTCATGAAAAAGTGAGCAAGTTTATTACTACAAGATTGTCTCATATATATATATATATATATTATTATTATTATTATTATTATTGCCCTTTGTGGGAAGAAAGGTCTTTATGTAAATTGTATTATTGTTGCCTTAAAGGAGTCAACGTCACCACATATATATAATTTATCTTTATTATTGAGAGGATTACAGATGTCTCCCCTTTTTTTCCCTCATTGCCCTGTCCACCCTGTTCCTGGCCCACCCCAGGCCTGCATCACACTATATATTGTCTGTGTCCATGGGCAATGAATACATGCATATGTTATTTGGTTAATCTCTTCCCACCTCCCTCACCCCTTCCCTCTGAGATTTGTCTGTGTCTTCCATGTTTCTGGATCTATTTTGTTCATCACTTTATTTTGTTCATTAGATTCCACATATAAGTAAGATCATGTGATATTTATCTTTTTCTGCCTGGCTTATTTTGCTTAGCATAATAATATCCAGGTCCCTTCATGCTATCTCAAAGTGTAAGAGATCCTTCTTTTTTTACAGCTGCATAGTATTCCATTGTGTAAATGTACCACAGCTTTTTTATCCACTCATCTACTGATGGGTCTTGGGCTGTTTCCAGATCTTAGTTATTGTAAATAACACTGCTATAAACACAGGGATACATATATTCTTTCTGATTGATGTTTCAAGATTCATAGGATATATTCCAGAAGTGGAATCACTAGATCAAAAGGTAGTCCCATTTTTAATTTTTTCTGCTTTGTTAATCTTTACCTAAGGATATTTTCTTTATTGATTTTTAGAGAGAGTGGAAGAGAGGGAGGGAGGAGGAGGAGGAGACAGAGATAAACATCAATGTGAGAGAGACAATGGATTGGTTGCCTCTCCCATGTACCCCAACCATGGCCAGGGATTGAACACGAAACCCAGGCACCCACCCTTGACTAGGAATTCAATCCTCAACCCTTCAGTGAAGGGGCTGTCACTTCCATCACTGAGCCACACTGGCCAGGGCCCATTTTTAATGTTTTGTGGAAACTCCACACTGTTTTTCATAGTGGCTACATCTGTCTACATTCCCCCCAGCAGTGTACTTGGGTTCCTTTTTCTTCATATCCTAACCATCATTTTGTTGTTTGTTGCTTGATTGATGATAGCCATTCTGGCAGATGTGAGGTGATACCTCATTGTTGTATTTTTTTTTTTTTTTTTTTTTTTTTTTTTTAGAGAGAGATGAAGAGAGAGAGAGAGAAGCATCAGTGTGAGAGAGATACGTTAATCGGCTGCCTCCTGCACTCCCCCCTCTGGGGATCAAGCCCGCAACCAGGGCATGTGCCCTGACCAGGAATCAAACTGGGACCTCTCAGTCCATAAGATGATGCTCAGTCCACTGAGCCACACAGCTGGGCCTCATTGTGGTTTTAATTTGCATTTCTCTGATGATTAGTGATATTGAGCATTTTTCATATGTCTATTGGCCATCGGTATGTTCTCTTTGGAGAAGTGCCTATTTATGTCCTTTGCCCTTTTTTAACTGGATTCTTTGTCTTCCTTTTGTTGAGTTGTATGAATT